TGCTGACAAGTATCACACAAGTCAGTCCTTGGACTCATAATTTGAATTTCTGGTGTCAATTGATGTCATAATTTTCTGAATGCATCATATTTTAAAGATTTCAATTTGTTATCCTTTTCTAAACCAGCCAGAAAATCTCTATACACTGATTTATAACTCATTTCTGCTGGTAAAAATATAACTGATTGGGTTATTCTATTAATGCTTTTTCCTGGACTTGGTAAGCCATGAACTTCTGCATAATTTTCCAGAAAATTCTTTACTACTTCTGCAACATTTTTGTCAATAACCATCTTAGTTTTCCATTGAGGCATCCTTTTAATATTACCATGAACTCTTGCTAGAAGACCATTGTTTATCAAATGATTTCTGATATTTTCAAAGTAAGTTCTACCAATTCCTAACATATTGAGATAAGTTTCTTGACAAAGTAGTGTATTGTGATCTCAATGGTAGAAAGTTCTTTTATTAGATCTATTTTTCTTTTTAAGGCATCTGCTGGTGCTTATTGATCCACCATCCATTGCTTTAATCTGTGCCATTAAAAATATGTCTTGTTCTGGTTTAGTGAGAGCTTGAAAGGATTCCCTTAATTCTGCAAATTGTTCCTTGGGAATTCTTGAAGAACAACCACAATCACAAACTTTTTCTGAAAAATCAATGGCTTTTTGATATTCATTAGAACCATTATACTTATTATTACTTTTCATATATACACTTATCCATATATATAATCTTATGTTCACTTTGTGGGTTTTTTAAAAATTTATAAGATTTTAAGATTAATCTTGTGATAATGAAAGTAGTAGGAGTAAGATAATGGAATCCTGTGAATATTACAAAAGTCATGTAATTCTATTATTTGAAGAATAATCTTGGAATGACTTCTTAAAATACATTTATTTTTAAATAAGCATAAGCTTATAATACAAGAGTTAGGCTAATAAAATGTATATTGTTATGTTCTTCATTACTTGAAAAAAAACTTATAAAATAAAATGCTATATATAAAAAGTTTGAAAATATATTAGAGGGAGGCACATTTCACCCCCAAAAAAGTAGATATTTAATAAAAATTTAAAGTTATCTTTCATCAAAAAAAAATAAACATTTTAACCTGAACTATTAACAAACTATCTGTTAACATAATACAATATTAACTTTCTACAATAATTCCACATGATAAATTCTATCCTAATTCTTAGTTGCCATATGTTGAACAGAAATCCTACCATGTGGAACCCTTTTGGCACCAGAAAAATCAATAGCAAAAAAGTATATAGGAAAAAGCAACAATTCTCCAACAATTATGACAAGTCAAATGCTTGTTGATTTTTTTTCAATTGGTGGTGGTGGTGGTGGCAATGTAATAGAATCAGAAAAAACTAAAATGGACTCTAAATCAAGTAAAGTAGTTAGCAATCAAAAAAAACTAGAACTTATAGTAGAAAAATTCCAACTACTTAATGAGAAAAAAGCCAGTCAGCATTCCAATTTCCATCTAATAGAATAATGATTAAAATTCACAAGTTATTTGGTGAGAAAAAAAAAGTATCACTGATTCCACTATAAAAATTTCTACAAATGAATGACAAATCCTAGGAAAAAACAATAGAAGTGACTCAGAAATAGTTTGATAAAAAAAATAAAACATTGAAGGAGGATTACTAATTAAAAATGTTAATAAAGGAAAGATAAATAGAAACTCATTACAACTACCGGCTGATGCCAGGCATAGTCATAATGATTACCTTTACAAGCAAGAATGGTCACCGGACAGATGCCAGGCATGAGCACACCTTGCTTGTACTTCTACCACAACCACCAGCTGATGCCAGGCACAGTGTAGTAGGGCTTGTAAAGGGAGGTTTCACTAGATGATTTGATAGTGAGATTGTCTCCACTTCACACTTCCATGGGTCAACTACCGGCTGATGCCAGGCATAGTAGTCATGGGTATAAAGAGTAATAATATTATTCATTTTCTTTTAGTCCAAAGATAGCTCAGAGAAGAATTTGTGATTCAGAGTGGAGTTGGGGCTCTGAATTTGTTATTATTGCATTTGTGCCTTTTCTTTTCAAAGAACCTGCTGACATTATGAAGAAAATCATAAAATAGTGATAATTTTCTCATTAGAATTGAAACAAGAAACCAGTATTTAAAGTCAACTCTTGTTTGATTTTTTTTTTTTTTTTACAGTGTAGGCTTAGAGCTCCATTTCATTGTTCAAGAAGATCTTGTTATTTAGTTGATGAAACCGCCTCAATAGCTAAATCAAGTGAATCAACTTGAGATTTTGTTTAAGGGTAGAGTTCGGTTAGACAGTACATCATATAGAAAAAATTTTTTTTTGATCAATGGAAAAAAAAATCAATTTTTCTACTGTAACCATAACTAATTTATGGAATTTTTTCCCCATACTAATTTAAGCACAACGGCTTACCTTAACTACAAAATCATACCTTTACCTATATAAAGGAAATTGAACATAGAGATTTCAAGAACAATCTAATCAAGGCAATTTTCATCAAAGAAGGATTAAAGAACAAGACGAGTTGTTAGAAGCCTGATACAAGGTCAACATTTTTATTAATTATTCTATTTTAAAGCTTGTGCTGCAGATAAAATCTATATATATCTGGTAAAAATTATATCAAATTTATTAATAATCATTATTTTTTTTAAAAATTAATTCTCTTATTTTATACTTAGCTTCACTTAAACATTTAATATGATAACGTTGGTGATAACGTGTTGGTGATAACGTTTGGTAATAGCATTGATGATAACGTGTTGATGACGTGTTGAGGCTTCAGGTCCTTATTAAAAGTCGCACTATAATTTATGAGAATAAATAAACAATAAATAAATAATCCTGTCCTCTTGAATAAATTCCATCACAGTTCTATTTCTATTAATATAATAATAATATCCATCTTCTGGATTTTTTGTAATATCTAAAAATCGTAAATGCTTATCTAAGAATATGCTGTAAATTTTTTGTACGCGTTTGATGAAGTCACATGGACTTTTTATATGTTTTTTTACGCGAAATTTAAATTTTTGCCATATGTTATTATGTGTAACCGAGCTCTACCCTTAAAAAAAAAAGTAACGTTTTGATTTATTGAAAGATAATAAGGTTCAGACTGTATAAAAATGAATAACCAACTTACCATCATTGAAGAACCACGTTTAAAAAATTTCGATTATAAATGTTCACCTCAAACCTTGGGATTACATAACTTTTTCATAGACGAACCAGCATCTAAATGGTGCCTTGAAACTTTCGTTAATAGAGTAATAAAAAACAAAGAAACAGAACTCAATTTTGATCAAATTCAGGAACTTTTCTTAACCAACTTGGATCAAATTAATAATCTAAAGAGTACACCCCAAAGTGTTCATAGCTTTTGTGAAAACTATATTAACTGGTTACAGGTAAGCTTCTAGATCTTTTGATATAATAACGTTACCACAATTAATCTGAATATCAATACCTATCTAAGATGTGGAAAGGGAGGGCTGTTTCGAAAGCTTGTTGTGAGTTTTTTGAAGAAACCATTGAAAGAGAAAAATTAGTGCTACAAAAGCGAAAGCAGAAAGAGATTCTTGAGGTGTGGGTTTATTTATTTTTTTTGGGAAATTGATGTTTTTTTTCTTGAAAGTTCAGAAAATTTATGTTATTATTAGGAATATGTGATTGAGAATGCTAAATTTCAGGCATTTGAGAGCAGTATGCAACTTCCAAGAAGGGAGAAGAGGAAAATAACATCATCACCACCTCGGGAAAGCACCTCCGATGATGAAGATGTACTTCTGACAACACCAAACAAGAAGATGTTGGAAAATGAAGACATTAAATTGTAAGTTTTTATTTTTAATTATCCATATTGAATCTGGTATCACATTTCTTTGATCGAGTCAATTACTTGTTTTTAGATATGTCGAGTCAATTCCCATTGTATGTGCATTTGGTGTAAATATATTCAAACTGAAAAAATTATTAGGGAATGATTTAGCGAACCAAATCTCTGAGTATCGGGACAAAACACCTTCTATATGGACAAAAGAACTAGAGAATTATTTAGAATATGCATTGGATGTAAGTCTCACTAAGATCATTTAAATTATTATTTCCAAAATTTATTTGTAATATCTATTGCTCTTCATATGCGCTGATTATGTTCGAACCCCAAAATCCAGTACGGTATGATCATAACGTTATGAATACTTTATACTAGCAAAAACCCATTGGTTTTGAGGTGGGGCCATTGGTTTGACGGGTTGATGGATAGTAAATTAGTTTTTTTAGCGGAGCAAATAATTTTTTTTAGGGTAATTATCATTCTACCGACCAGTTTACACATTAAAAATACTCGTGTTTAACATCGAGACACAATAAGACATAAGGTTTGAAAAAAGGCCCAAAAAACCAAATCGGCTGATATGTATATAAAGCAAACAGGAAAACAATTCAAGATGGCAATACAGAATGAAATAGAAGGAGAATCGGCTAACAAGTTTAGGTTGTATATTGAAAAAGTTTTAATTTGTAAGTATTGAGCTATTATTGATTGTATTTGGAGAAATTACCTGTAATGCTTTTATTTTGCTACCCTTTTACAGTTATAATCTAGTGGATCTTTTTCCAACACACATGATTACAATTGGGGAGCGAAAATTTATTGTATGCCATATCTCAGCTTTGTTCAGATTTTACGAATCAACATTTGGAACTTTGACATTTGACTGGATTGAATCTCATTCACAGGCTGCAAAAGTGACTAAATCATCAACAGATACCGGGATTGTAAAAGTAGATATAAAAGGTATATATTTATTTATTTAATAATAAGTATACTTCTTAAGGATGAATTTTCTGATTTCAATATTTATATTCAATTCAACAAAAAAGGAACTCGGAATAGAGATGGAAATGATGTCTGGCACATGGTTGATTAATTATAATATGAGTTCCTTTCAAAAAAAAAAAAAAACGAATTAATATCCTTAATCTTTCCTTCTTTTTATATTAATATATGATATATTCAGGAAGTAGCAAGTCCACCAGGAAACCAAATAATAGCTCACACTGTTGATGACACCAAAAAAACATTGCGTACTGATATTCTAAATTTGGTGGCTATTTTAAGAAATCACCTTAATATTGATGTGAATATAGCAAAACAGATTAAGGTTTTTAGCACACAGGTTATAGGTAGTTCATTTGTCACATGCTCACTTTATGCAAAAGCAATAAATCATATTTTAATAACATACCTTTTTCTTTTATCATTTATTTTAGAAAATCGATTAACATTATATGCCCTTAGCATCTTGGAAGATGGTAGGTTTCTGTCTTATGAGCTGGCATCTGCAGATTTGCCATTTGATTTCAATTCACGTTCAAAGTACAAGGGAATATTATGGATGATGGCCAAGTTTCATGTAAGTGAATAATATGAGTGTTATATGTTTCAAAGTATATAAATAACCTCTTTGCTATCTTTAGGATGAAATGGTTCAGCAAATGGCTATTTTAGACAAAATTGATCGTTTACTTATTACATGTAAAGGCAAAACAGTACGTGATATTTTGAGAATTCCAACTAACTTATGAAGTATATAATGGATATTCCATGAATAAAACAATTTGAATTTCTTATATTGCAATTTTTATCATGCATAAATTTTCCTTTATAAATATGTTATAATCTCTACGATTAATAATATATAAATGCATGTGATCCTCATTATTAGCAATTGATATTATCTATAGAACAAAAGTATTATTTATAATAGGCATTTTTTGTAATTCACAGATATGTATACATTGTCAGCAACTCTAGACTAATCAAAATCTATAAGTGGTGCATGCTTTCCCCCATTTTTTATATTTTTGTATGGCAATCACTAATTAATCATATTAATATTAATATTAATATATTTATACATAGAGGGATTAACGCCAATTTTGATCCCTGAAATTTCTGGTAATACCAATGTTCACTTTGGTTTTGTTGCAGCATGCTCCCTCCGCAAATCGTCAGTTAAAATTTTTCATAAAATAAAAAAAGAAATGTTTGATGATGACTGATGGTATTTTATCAATCCAATTCAAATCGGCTTACAATTTTCTAAATAAAAATCAAAAAGTTAACTTTCCAAATGAGATAAAACTTCAAGTAATAAAATTGTATATGTATTAATTTGATTAATTCGATGAATGTTATTAATAACTTTATTTGATAAATAGTTATATGCTAATTTTAAAATTGCAACAGTTGGAAATTGTAATACATCAAAGCCATCACTTTTAAATTTTAGGGATAGAGCAAAATGGGATGCATGGAAAGAGAAGGATGACATCACCAAAGAACAAGCCATGTTACAATATATTGACATTATAGAAAAGGCAAATGTTGGTTGGGACAGATATAAAATGTTAAATGATGATGATGATGATGATGATGATAGTGAGAGAAAAGGAGAGTGTAACAAGAATGAAAGTGAAGAAAATGAATTTGAGGTTAAATGAAGAATTGTTATCATTATTTTCTTTTGTATATTTATATATTCATTTTATATTTTTTTACATAATGAATAAATAGGAATTTGGATCTAATCCAAAAGAGAGATGGACTTATGTTTCTACAATGTCATATGAAGATGATGATGACAATTCAAAGTTTGTTGATATTTAATATTAATAATAATATTAATACTACTAGGAAATTTTTACATTTTATTGTTTTATATTATAAATAAGGGAAGATGATGATGATGCTATATTTAAATATGTGAAACAAGGCAAGTTGAATGAAGTAAATGAAATAATATTGGATCAAGATAAAAAAACGGATTTAAATAAGAAAGACAATCAGGTACTCAAGAATAATATTTTGCTCGAGTTGTATTTGTTTCTTTTTTTATTTCTTTAATTAATCATTGTTTTTTTTTTTTGGATATAGGGCTTGACACTTTTACATTGGGCATGTGATCGTGGACATTTAGATATTGTTAAATTGTTAATTGAAAATGATGCAGATATAAATGTTTTGGTAATCTTTTTTTTTTTTAATTTAAATTCATATTATAATTATAACTCATTGTTTTTTTTTTTCTAAATTTAAAATTTTTTTTAGAGTGTTGATAATGAAACACCAATGCATTATGGTAATTTTAAAAATAATAATTTTATAGTGGAAAATCTTATAATCTTAAATTCTTATTTTTATTATAAATTATAAATTATTTATTTTTAGCATGTCTTTCAGAACAACTGGAATGTGCTCGTTATCTTTATAAAAATGATGCTGATTTATCAATTAAAGACAACGAGGGATTGACTGCATTTGAACATTGTGGCAATGAATACAAAAATTTAATTTTGCAAACTTAATTAATTAATAAAGTCTTGAATTTATTAGTGATACAATTTCTACATGGACAAAGTATAGCACAGCTAGATGGAACTTTGACTAGTTATTGAATTTTCTTTTTCTTTTTCTTTTTTTTAATTAATGGATCAATATACCCAACTGTATTTAAAATGCAACAAAACCAGATTACAAAGAAATTTCACAATTGTATCACATGGTTGAATTAATATAACCCTCTCATCTATCTCTCTAATTGCTTTAAAATTCGACTTGATTCGATTTGTACAGAGTCTTACCTCTTGGTTTATTACTAGCTTATAACTTATTTAAAAATGTTCAATAAATGACCAGAATTCAAAAGCGAAAATCTTGATGAACAAGAGAAATTCAACAAATGTGCCAAAAGCAGACAATGACAAGTTTCTTATCTGCCTTAATCCAAGCTTACTAACAGAATAAGAATATCTGCTGCTATCATCATGGTAGTGTAGGGACCCTGGTTCTGTGAGATGTCACATCAAGTGTGTATGTACGGAATTGATAATTCACTGCACAAAACATATTAATATGTGTAATGCTAACATGTACAAGTTCGTGGTTTTTTCACCCTGGTAGTGTGCACCTTTTTCACGCCAGTTGCATTAATATATTCATTCACTATTAATATAAAAATTACAACCTTAACGCCAAAAAAAATTCTTTATCATCAAAATCATCAAACAATAGTGATTGATTTTAATGATTCAACAAAACCTGCATCTAAACCTATCTTGCGTACTATGTAAAAGTCGTTCCTGTTGGCTTCAGAGGCAAAAATCAAAAAAAGCATCAACTTGTGTGTATCTAAAAGCTGCTCTACACACTAATATTGACATGTCTATGTGTGTTTCAAACTCGGGCACAATCAAATATGTTTTGATTTTTTTCATTAGTAATAGTTGGTAATAAAATCGAATGCCCTAAATTTTTCCATATTAATACAGTTCACTCTCTCTATAACGAACCCTCTGCCCCTATATGTAATTTCTCTGCTTTTGGTCGTTATAGAGAGAGAAATTAATTATAAAAAATTGAAACGGGGACAAAAGGGAAGTTCGTTATAGAGAAATTTTACTTAGTGGTCGTTATGGAGAGGGCTGTTATAGAGAGAGTAGACTGTATAAACTCGATAAGTCGGACGCAGCAATCAATTGTTTAAAGTACTCGATAATAGACCGAGTTTACATCTGTACCTTGCATTTATAACAGATTAAAAAAATCCAATGATTGTTCGATAAAATGATACAAATTTCAATTATCTACAAATATACAAGAACGAAGAAAAAAGTCCTACTTATAAAACTGACGCATCACTATCCCTATAAAAACTCTTGTACAGAGAATACACAGAAAAACAGTGCTAGTACATTTTTTATAAAAATTTTTGTGCGATAATTCTATTAATATTGTTTCGATCATTTTTACAAACCTCACTTAAAAATGTTTAGTAATGGAAATTTCTAAATTATTAACGAGTGGGTCTTTTTAATAGAAAACAAACAGCTTATCCCAATAAAATTTGTGGATTCAATTTCGTGTACGATGTGTAATGGTTTGTTATTATTATTATATACATTTTGCATGATTCTTTGTTTTACAAATCTTTTAATAATAAATTATAAATTACTAAAAAAGGGACCAGTACCAGTTTAACAAAAAATGGAACGGCCAAGACTTTTGGAAAATCGTCTATTTGTGAAAAATCAGAGGTTTTTAGTAATCATTTATAGAACACTGCTACGGAGAGAATATGATTATTTCATATAGCCTTTTGAAAGTGTAATAAAGCAAAAAGTATTACAACGAATAAAAAATTTTGATGTATTTCCAAAAAGGTTTTTACACCGTTAGCACCTTTCCATATACCAGGGTTGCAATAGACGAGTCAATTGCCATTAATAAAATACTTGGTTAAATTGTTACATCAATGGATCAAATGGACGTGTATCATGGCCAACCCTGTTATATACCACTACCCTTTATATACGTAAATTTGGTATTTGTATCTTTGAAAATGGAAGAGTAATAATTCAAAAACAGTATTTTACTAATATTAACGTTACGGAACTCTCAATCGTTAAGACTCCTGTAAAATCATTCTATTTGTGAAAATATTAAAGGAGGCTTTATCTGAAAGAACACCGGAGAAAATATTTATTTCATACAGTTTTTATAAATAAAACTCTATAGTCTCTCAAATGGGTTTTTTATACATTTAACATTTTTATAATCATAAATCTCTCCATAGCTCTATACTTACCTACATACTACCTTTTGTACAAATATTGTATCTATGTCCTTGAAAATGAAGGAGTGGAAATTTGAAAATGATATGTTTTAAGGAAATTCTGTTAGTAATAAATACATGATATATGACATTAATTAGATTTGATTTTCAAATTAGAAGGTATTCCCATTTTTTATTTAGTAATGAAAAAGAAATAACATACAAATTATATGTATTACCTATGTGTGTGTGTGTGTGTGTATATATAAGTTGTAAAATAATTAATAATTATATTATATTGTTTATTATATATTATAAATAATAGCTAGTTAACTACCATTTACTAATTATTAATCAGTGTTAAAGTCCATACTAAAAGAATTCTTTTTTTTTGAATGATATTTACTACTAAAAAAATCTTTTATGCAATTTCTTTTTTCTTCCTATAATCCTTTATTGCAGATTTTATAGCATCTTCAGCAAGCACTACATATTATTATTTAAGTATTAGTAGACATACTTTACAAAGAATTTCATATATTATTACAAGAACCTACTTGAACAATGTAATTTAACAGGTGGCAAGGATAATTCTTTGGCGATTTCTGTATTTTTTATTTTACTAGCTTCATCCAATGACATTCCACGTACACGTTCTGTCATAAAACTTGAAGACGCTATAGCAGAACCACATCCAAATGTTTTAAATTTTACATCAACTATTTTACCACTTTGTTCATCAACTCTTATTTGAAGTTTCATAACATCTCCACAAGCCGGTGCTCCTACAAGTCCTGTACCAACATCTGGATCTGATTTTGGAAGTGAACCAACATTTCGTGGTCGTTCATAATGTTCAATGACCTATATATTTTTTATTTTATTTATAAGTTCATAAAATTAATATTTAACAAGAAAAAATTTTTTAAATTTGCAAGTGTATGATGTTGCTGCTTTTTATTTATTTGTTTGTTTATTTAAATTTCACCTTTTCATGATATGAACGTATTAAACCAATTGTAAGAGAACGAGGTATAGTTGAAAAGGTGGTGGTTGTTTGGTTTATTAACTTTTTATTATTTGAAAGAATTATATTTCTCAACATTTTTATTTATTTCGTTTTGTGTGAAAAGTTTTTCACAAGAAAATATTTTTCAATGAACTATTTATAGTTATTATTATTGCTTCTTATCAGATTTATCGTTTATCGTTATCAGATTGTACGTAATTTTATTTATCATTATCTGATTAAAATTTGTAATACAGATTTTTTATTAATCTTAATATTAACAATACTAAAACCAGTTTAATGGGCGGGCTGATCTCTATTTTAAATGATCGGCACTATATCAAAAGATTATCTTAATTTTTTATTTGTTAATTATGGATAGACTTATCAGAAATTATATGACAACATTAAATGAGTCAACCTCCTCCAATGAAGAAGAACTCAAAGAAATTACTTCTTCTATAATACAATGTAAATATCATAATTTAATTTATAATTGACTAATTAACTAATATTTATTTATGATAACTTTCTTTCTAGGTTTAAAAAATAACCAAGGAACATTATTATCAGTTGTGCAGCAATTAGGCGACTTTCTTACCAGTGAAGATGCAACCTTTCGTTCTAAAGGTATGTAATATCGATTTCAATATTAATTTTTTTTAAATCCAATCTCTAACATTTATTTATTCACATTAGGTGTCAATCTTTTATCGGCTATTTTAATTGAATGTCCAAGGGAACTAGTGAATCAAACTGCTGGTACATACATGTATTTATACATGTGTGCGCGCGCGCGTGTGCAGATTTATGCATAAGTGTTTATAATGATTTTCTAATTATTATTTTCTGGGTTTTTTTACTAGTAAATGTTTTAGTAGAATTTTATTGTGAAAGATTATCAGACACAGAGAGTGTACCAGATCTTGTCAAAGGATTATACGCACTTTCACAATTTGAGACTTTTGGAGATGAAAATTCCATTAGAGTTATTAAATTGTTATGTGTTTTAATTTAATTTATACATTGATATATAATTAGCCAGTATATGTGGATATTAATATCATTATTGATAATTTTTATAGAATATTTTCTACATTATATGTTCAAAACTTTCTTCAAACGACAAGACATTATGTATTTCAAATTATTGAAATTTTGTTTAGGTTGCATTTTAATGGTAAATTTTTAACTTAATTATTATTTATTATATACAAATCTAATTTTCATTTTTTTATTATTTTTCTCATAGCATTGAAACAAATAGAATCAGAATTTATTGCTGGTTTTATTCAAGTGATGGATGGCGAAAAAGATCCAAGAAATTTATTGTTGGCATTTTTTTTAGTTAAATCGATAATCAGAGAATTTGATATTTCCAATAATATAGAGGTAATCATCATTAAATTATTAAATTATTATTTATTTATATTTTTAAAATTTATTAAATTTATTTATTTAGGCATTATTTGAAGTGATATTCTGTTACTTTCCAATTACATTTAAACCCCCACTTGACGATCCATATGGAATTACTGCTGAGGATTTAAAAATTGCTTTAAGGTTTATTTTTATTATCTAATTTTCATAATTATAAAAACATTATTATTAATGAAAAAATAATTTTAATGTTTAGGGAGTGTTTATCCAGTACTCCATATTTCGGAAAATCTGCAATGCCGTTACTAATTGAAAAATTAAGTTCAAGTTCTGGAAATGCAAAGGTTTTTCTAAATTTTTAAAATTTACGATTCTTTAGTAAATTAATAATGATAATGATGATATATTTTTTTTTAGAAAGATTCTATGGAAACAATAGCAGTTTGTGCTCCAGTTTATGGAGCAAACTCTTTAATAGAATTTTTAGATGTTTTATGGGAGTATTTAAAAGATGAAGTAATAAATAGATAAACAAACAAATATATAAATAAATAAATAAATATATATATATATTAATTAATTAATATTTTAATTTGATAGGTCATTAATTCAACAGATAAATCTAGTGAAAATATTGCGCTTGATACAATACGTAGTATTGTTTATACACTATCAATGGAAGTAGTTGAAAAATCAGAGCACCTTAAAGAATTCTTAAAGATTATTGTAGATGAATGTATGGAGAATATAGAACGGCCGGAATTAAAATTGGCTAAACCTAGTGGCATAATACTAAAACATTGTTTAATGGCTTCAGGTAAAAGACTATTCAATTATTATTATTACTGCTATAACTACTATTACTACTGCTGCTGCTATTATCATTATCGCTACTATTATTATTATCATAATTAATATTGTCATTACTAATATTATCACAACAATAGATCCATCATATAATTTAATTACATCTGCTACATTAAGTAAATTGCTTCTTAAATATAGGTCAAGTGAATTATTATTAACCAGTAAAAAAGAAATATTAAAAGTTATAAATGAATTCGTTATCGCAAGTCAATATTTATATGGAACAATTTATGAACCAAAATTTGATTCAGGTAAACTATTAAAATTATTAAATATTTATTTATAATAATTTTATACACACACATTTTTTTTTGGAAAACAATTAGATTACGATTTCATTACACCATTAATTTCATACAAAGATGAATTGCTTGAAATATTTAGTTCAGCGTTATTATCAATTAATGAATATAATGAATTAAGATCGATCGGAGTAAATGGTATATATAATATGATATTGTTAGATAAATTTCTATCAGATGATGAAATATCAATCCTATTGCAGTATTATAATCAAATTATTTTAAATGAACTTGATCAAGAACTATTGTAAGTAAATAGTAATAATAATCATTATTGGTTATTATTAACAATGTTGATTTATTAATATTTATATTGTATTGTATAGTGATGAAACTTTAAAATTATTATCGGATATTTCCAAGTATAAATCGAATTTGATATTAGAGATTACTTTACCAATAATTTTGGACAAACTTCCAAATAATGAGAATGATCTCATAACAAATAATATTCATTATGATGATAAATTATACATAAGATTGTTAAAGGCTTTATCAGAATTATCAATTCAACCGATTCTATTTGAAAATTATTTACCAAATATATTAAAGACCATAAATAATTTAGATGTCGATCCAAGTAAGGTTTATTTATAAAATTTCAATAAAAAATGATACAAGTATTCTAATGACAATTCTAATATATATACACATTCGTAGTTTCATCAATTGAAATAGTTAATGATTATTTAGAATCTTTACTTAATTCATTACTGATGGTATTAACTAAAAAAACACAATTGAATTATAAAGAATCTATAAATTATCATGAGATAATAATAAAAAATTTACTATTAAAATGTATTCAACCAACTTTGTCAAGTGAAGAGAAACATGAGAATTTATATTTCAATCTGAGTATTATTAAGATAATTGGTGATATTTTATCATTGCTGATCAGAAATTTAAATGTTAGGTAAAGTAAAAATCAAAAAAAAACAGATTTTTTGGTTAATATTATAATTTCCAATATATATATATATATATATATATGCATACATTTAATTTATATCTCCCTCAGTGAACAAACATTAATGGTAAATGAGATTTTTAATTTGTTTACAAAAGGAAGTTTAGACTATATAAATTATAGTAATAAGGAATTATTAACATTCAATCCATTATCGGTAAGTGTTAATTTTATTACTTGTCTTAATTAATCTATCAGTTAATACACTCGTGATTTATTTATCATTTTTATTTATTTTAAAAATAATGGAAATTTAGATTGAATCTAATGTAACTCAACAAAATTTAATATTGCTATTTACTTCAATAGTGGGATCAATTAAACCAAAAGTATGTGAGATATCTTTTGACAATAACAATTTTATTAGTACTATAATGGTTTTACTCTTTTTAGGCTAAACTTCCATTGGAAAATATTTCTGAATTTTTATCAAACATGCAAAATTTAATATTGTCAACAACAAATAAAATACAACAAAATGCCTTATGCCAATTATTTGCTTGTATCATAAATAAATGGGAAAATGGTAAATGTTTATTATCAATATTATTGTTAATAATAATCAGCTTATATATATATATATATTTATTTATTATTATTTTACTAATTTTTCACCACTTAATATAATGTATACGTGTGTGATATATTATTTGATTAGAAAATGAATTAAATAATTATGTGAAAGAAAATGTTTTGGAAAATTTAATGAATCATATTACTATTAATGACAACAACATTAATGACAATGTTGGTAATACAAGAGAAATTTCATTAAATTTATTTTTATGGGTAAGAGATTATATTTAATTAGATAAATATTATTAAAGAACTATTGGATATCTAACGATTGTTATTATAATAATAGATATCAAAAGCTTTAATATTACGTACAAATGAATTGGGTTATGAATGTGTTAATTGTATTATAAAATTATTTAATGATGAATCTTTGGCAAAGAAAGCATCAAATGGATTTGAAATATTGATTGGTGAAAGTGAAACATTAAATAAAGAAGCGTTTGTTATAATAAAGGTAATATGATGCTCTATGTTTTATGTTATTAGGATGATTAATATGATTAATACAATTCCTTCATATACTCACATGCATATTTTATGTGATTTAGTTATTGTATAAACAAAAATTTTTCAATTTTAGTGTTACAAAATTAGTTGAAGGATTTAAAATTTCGAACGAAGGTAATTGGTTGGCTTAATTAAATATTATTATTATTGTTATTATTGTTATTATATCATTCTAATTAATAAATAAATATTTTAGAGTTCAAACATTATTATTTAATTGCTTTATCTCATCTATTAAAAAATGTTCCTAAGCAAGTCTTAATTTTTGAAATTTCACATGTAAGCAATAACAATTTAATACCTATTTATCATTTTTCATTCTAACCAATATTTATGCCTTTTCTCTTTCTACAAAAAAAAATTTATAGATTTTCCCATTATTAATTCATTCATTGTCATCATCGGATCCTGAACTTAAATTTTCAACAGTTAACGCATTCTACGTAATCATATTAAATAACCCTAAAACAATATCTGATAATATCAGTTCTATGATACCTTTATTGTTAAATTTAACTAAAATTAAAGAAGGAAACAGCATGGTAAGAAATTTAATTAATGATCTGTCTATGAATGAGTGAACTTCATATAATGATAGGCGGGAGAAAATGTTATGAAAAAAAATTTTTAATTCATGGATGGTAACTAAGTAAAGTATTTTTCTTTCAATACAAGAGAACAAAAAAAAAAGATATTACTATAATCTCTGAGATTTGTTTTATCTTATAGGATAAAAATAAATAAATTGTGGCATTAAAGTAAAGTACCATTTTTATAAAAGACTGTCACAGCAGAAATTTTATTTATAAAAGTGGTACTTTATGAATTTTTTATGTTGATCATTTATCTTTCACTCATTCAGAGACGGATCATCAAATTAATTTTTAATTAACTTCTTAATTAAAAGAAATTAATCAACCAATTAAATTTTCAATAATTTATTAGAAAGTTCGTATATCAGCATTACAATGTTTAGGTTTATTACCTGATAAGTTGGCATTTGACATTTTATTTCCATTCAAAAATAAAATAATTAGAGAATTGAGTTTTGTATTGGATGATAAAAAAAGGTTGGTCAGAAAAGCAGCTGTTGATTGTAGAAGTAAATGGTAAATAAATAAATTTATTTATTATATATATTCACACATATACATATGATTTATCATTCTGATAATTTTAATTTTGTTTTTAGGTTCTTATTTACAGGTTCTAGAAATAATCAATAGTTATTTATATGTTATTTATTGCTTTTTTAATTATTAAATATTTATTTATATACATTAAAAAAACTAAATAACTATTATATAATAGTTACAAATAAATTTTATTATTTAAATTCTCCAAAACTGTTTTATTATGGCAATTTTCACTAATTTTTGGAAAATTCATTCGGTAAAAATTGAAAATCTTTAGTTGGAATGAAGGTTCTAATAATTCCGCAAGATATATATATATCATCATCTTGATCAATTGGTGTATCAAGTTCTTGTGGTTTCTCGCAACTAAACAATGATTTTATAGTGTTGTGGATCACTAATATCATTTTTGTAAAGTTTAGCGACACGTAGAATCCTTCTGGAATTAAATATAAAATCGATCAGCTTTAATACAAATGTTTTAAAATATCATAATTAAACAACATCATTGCATTACGCAAATTTATTTGATAATCTGTTTATGAAACCCCTCACTAGAAAAGGGAATTGGATACACTGTTTCTATAAGTTTTAAGATATATTATCATATAATAAAGAAAGTAAATCGTTTATAACTAAATTTTGATAATTTGAATATACAACAGTTTTATTCTTCCCCAAACAGCAACGGAACCTATGAGGAGGCCCGAGTGATAATCTAGCAAATACTTTTTTTATAAATTAACTTTAATTTTATATCGAGGCGCAGTCGAGTTCTTTGAAAGCCAGGGCTGTTAGAATTATTTATTTTCTTTATTCAAGGAAAAGTCATTTTTTCAAAATATGTCTACATAAGTTAATGGCACTTGTATCTCCAAGAATAAATTATAAAATAAATGTTTAAATACAGATATACTTTTCTTCTAAAAATTTAAAGGATGCAATTTGTGATTCTGGTTGTTCTGAAAAATCAGTTTATATTTTAATTAATTTATTAACATTCACGATATACAACATCTAAACCCATAATGAGACAGTCGACTCTCTTTTTTAAAATCATAGTGTTGACAGTCACAATCAATGGGCTTTTCTGATTCATCCTGACGCGTCAAATGGTATGTTTAATTAATAATTTTTTTTTCTCTAATATGTTTGATAATATTATTATTTAGTTTAATATCACTTGCTAACATTTCAATATAAATTTTTTGCTGTTCCTTTCTATAATACTAAATGTGACCATTAATTAAAGATGCGTAAGTATAAGTGTTTGGTTTTACGTTACATGATTTCATTAAATTAAAAGTTTGTAAAGAATTTCTAATTTACCTAAATTAGTAAAACCTTCTATTCAAAAGATGCCCTAATTGCGGGAAAGGATGAACCTCTGAAATTTGAACTTTAAAGATGGGATAATGTCAAATGGAACAATACAACTAATGCATTTGCCTGATGGAGAGCCAAAAGGAATCGAATTAGTTCTTAAAAAGTAATTTATGGCTAACGTCAACCAAAATAGTTTGTATTGTAATGACTACAAAAAAACATCATCCTACTCAAGACTTTTGTTGTGCAGTTCGGATTCTTGAGCCTCAAACTGGCTTATGAATCAGAAGCTTTTAATCCATCATAAAATTATATTTTATCCTAAATTCCACTGCGAACTTAAATTTATAGAATTACTTTGACGATTATACTTGGAAAAAAATGTACCTTTATATTTCTGGTATGGTATCCATCCATATGTTACATATTGCGTTAATGTACAATTGATGGACCCGTGTCAATCAAGGGTATCTTAAATATGAAATATTTGAAAAACATAGTAATGTGATGATGTTAGTGAGAATGTAAAAATAATGATTTATCAACCAATCTTTAAACACATCATCCACAATATGAAAAATACTAATGCAGTCACGCATTCCTTTTTACAAATAAATTATTTGAATCAAATTATTATCTATCCATCAACACAACCACAAAAACACTACCACTGTATGTAAAATGAATAATAAATAATAACAAAAATTTTTGAGAGAATAAATCATTTTACAAAAAACTCTCATTCAAAGAAAAAATTTAACGGCAATTTCTCCCTAATTGAAATTATTAAAAGGAAAACGTTAAAATAATTGTTGAATATTATATATTTTTAAAAGATTTGTAGTAGTAACTTACTGTTGCAACAAACACAGCTATGACAATCAACCAAATGATGATCCATGTAATTTGTGTCATGTTTGAATTACCAATATCTTCACGCAACATATCAAGCAAATCATTGATGACATTACATCTATCATTAAGAACTTTGACACGTTGTGAGATTTCAAGGTAAGCTAATTAAATAATAAAATAATAGAATTTTTAGTTCCATGTTATTTATTTTATAAATAATAATAATAAAATTTCTTTATTTTTTTTTACTTCTAATAGCATTGTATAATGGTTGTAAAAATGGTTCAGACCAAAATATTTCCGGGGTATCTATTAAAAATAAAGTAAAATCAAAATAAAATTATCAATTATTTAAATAGGATTGAAAATCAAAAAGAAAATTATGTTATTCACCTAACACATTAGATATTAAATTCACATTCATGCGTAATTTAAACAATTCTCCACTCAATTTTGTTACTTGAGTTCGATTTCTATAAGTATCAAACAAAATGCATATATTAACAAAATATTTGTAGTGAGAAAAGCACAAAGGGCAAGTAATTACTAAATTGGATTATTAACTTACAAATTTAGTCTTCCAGTCAATGCTAACATTTTTGGTATTGATTTTGTTCTATTTATTGTGTCATCCATTTGCCATTCATACAAACTTAACTTTGTACTTTGACTAATGGCATGACTTATTGTTAATTTAATCATATGATTTTCAGATTTTAGTGTAATCATATCATTGAAAATTCTTGGTTGACTAGAAGAGTTAACATCATATTGAAAATGAAAAGTTTCACATTTAACTTCATCATCTTTTAATGGACGAACAACAAATTTATATGATGCTAAATCATCAAGTATTAATAATTCTTGTTCTTCTGTAAAATTCCAAAACACCACTACTCCATAATTAAAATAAAAAACCTCTCCAATACTATAAATTATTAATGGTGGTGAATTTTTCCTTAAAGAATCTTCATTACTTGTATCATTACGACCTCCATCTCCTTCAATAAAATTGCTATTATCTCCCTTATGATTTTCATAATTTTCTATTTGTCTATCAATAAAAGATTGTCCGTTTGATGTATGGGTTGGTGATGAGGATAAAATTTTTGTGTTTTTTCCAGGAATTAAAGGGAAATGATATGGTGCATAAAGGCATTCATCATATAATCTTTAAATATATGATATAAATGTTTTTTACAATTTTAATAACATTTATTATATTTTATAGCAATAATCAATAATATTGAATAAAATACTTTGGTTGAACATTATGCCCTTCTTTTAAAAATTCCATCAGAATACCAAGATAATAACCTTCTGCAGTGCAATAAGCCGTAGCTCTTGATTATAAAGCACTTTAATTAGTATAAAATCTCTTTCTGGATTGTTTTTGATGCTTGAAAAATTAATAGTAATAATAGTAGTAGTAAATATTTGATTAAAAAGGCCGATTGACTACCTTGGATATCTATAGTCGTCACGAGTTTTCTTTGACAATCTTTCTGCATCAACACTATCAAGGTTTTCAATAAGTGAGGATGATACTTCTTGTAATGGTGCTGGCGTATCGAAATACTCGGGAGGTATATCTTCAAAAGCATTGGTGATAGTAGCAGTGGCAGGTAAATTTTCAGACTCTTCAGGAAATAATACTAATTTTTGAGAAGTTTTGGTAGTTCTTTGTGGTGTTGTAAGTTTTGTTCGAATTCCAGTGGCAGAACTTGTTGGAGTTGTTATAGTAGAAGTTTTTAAGGGTAGTTGCTTTTTTGATTTTGCATCATTATTACTAGGGGAAGCCATTATACTTGTTTGAGCATCATATGGCATTTCCGTCCTTATAGGTCTAGTATTTGTGTTTCCTCCTTCCTCCAATTCATATGCATTTGTAAATTCAGACATTTTTTTCTACAAAAAAAAATATCTGCCGATCTACAAATCATGCTTTTCAATAGAACCGAGTTATGTTAGCCCCGTAAACTTCATAGATAGGTCAGTAATATATAACTTGACCCCAAGGTTTGCAATAGCATTAGAAAAAAGACATTTTGAAACTGTCTACTGTAACGAAATTAAATTTTACCAACCAATTGATCTAACTGATAATAATTCATTAATTTATGATTCTTTAATATAAAAAGATTTACATGTATAAAGCTTTTCGATACACCGAATGTTTGGTTCCCTAATAAATCGGTTGACTACTGACTGATGATTTGACCCTATTAAACCTAACCAACCTTTTTGATATTTACATATAATAATTTAACCCACAGATTGGCCCTATTTATGATTGTTACATTCGTAAAGTTTTTAATAATGTTGATTTATGTATGAATTTGACACAGCTGCGGCAGCAACCTATCTATGAAGTTTTCGGGGCCCTATTGGTCCGGTCTTAAAGACCAGTTTTTGGGACTGGTAGTTTTTTTGGTCAATTTCGATTGTTTTACGTTTTATGAACGAGTTCGAGTTAACCTTTTAGCTACACTCGTTGGTTAATCGCAAGCTTTTATGTACAATGCTCGCCAATTAATTTATTTCCGAATTTGCTTACAACTATCCTGCTTACTTTCTTGTGCCTAGAAAGCTTCAGCGAATCTGTAGGCACACTTTATGGTACAAATAACAACGAATTTAATTATTTTTGTTCCACTAGCTTAAATTGTTAATAAATAAACAAATAAATAAATAAGTATATATAAAATAAAAATACGAATATAAAACGAAAGAGGCTAGGTCTCATATCCAACATACCAGATTAAGATACGATTGGACGGCATTTCGATAAATCCGTTTTTTTATTATTATCACAAAAAACCCTGGCAAAATTTTATTCAATATGGAAGGTCCGCTGGTCCTATAATAATAGGACTGTGGTTCGAATGGACCGGTATTTTAAAGACCAACACAACCTTAATTTTTACTAATTGACTGGAATGATGGTTCATTTATAATTGTGCAGTGTCCTTATTTAACCAATCTCATTACAGAGAGTCAATAACCTTAACTTTAATTATGGGAAAGAAATAACATTTATTTTATTTGCAACTTTGTTTAAAAATTCATCGATAATCAATGCACCATCTAACCCATGTACTTTCAACATTTTTTCAGTAAACCAGAGGGCTGTCTGCTCTCTCATGAATGCAAACGTTCCCAGGTGTATTGTATATTTCTTAAAGATTTAAGTGATAAGGTAATCGGAAAGTGTGAAACTTTTTCTTTAATATGAATTGTCTTATTGTTATTATACGACAGTAACATAGCAAGTAATCAAAGACAAAATATCTCCAGCATTGGATTTTTACGCTGGATAACTACCAAGTTTGAATTATGAACAAACAAAGGAACATAACAAATTATCAATCTGATCAAACAACATACTCCTGCCCATTTTTTGTGCCTGGTAAGTCGGTTATTATCCCTTTCAAACCAATCACATCCATTTATTTGTCACCTTTACAATTTTATTGTGTTCGACTCTCAACATTTGTTTAATCTTAGCAATGAAATAATTTTTTCATTAAAATCCAATAACCTAGCCATCAAGGCATATAAGGCCAGATATAAATTACTTCTTTATAAAGATACAAATATAATTGGGGTGTGAGATGCCCTAATTAAATCAAAATTAGGTGATGTAACATAATGCCGATCAATAACAAACTTTTTTTTAA